AAGGAAGAAACACAATGTTATGTGGGGCAGGTCAATGCTAACATAATTTGTAGTGGAAATTACTCAAAACCTTACTTTTCAACATCTATTTTCCAAAATCAGATCTCAAGTTTTAATTTTCAAAAATCAGATATTTTTAATTAGATATAGATTATACTTATATATATATATATATATATACACACACACACAAATTATATTTTAATTTCATCCCAATTCAAACCCTAAATTCACTTCTCTTTCTCTCCGTCTCTCACTTCTCTCCGTCTCTGTTATTGGTGACTTGATGGAGCATCGGCAGAGGCGGCCTAGTCCATTGGAGTGGTTGTGGTTATGGTGGCGTTAACTCCGTCACCCCCCACACCCTATCTCTCTCTCTCTCTCGGTGGTGTAGAAGGCGGCAAATTTGAAAATGGTGGTCGCGGTGAAGGTGGCGTCACTATCGGAAGAGAATTTCCGACGCAGCGTTGAGGTGTCCAGTGTGGTGGTGAGTGTAGACCAGCCAAGCCCAGCTCATATTCACAGCTCACTAGGTTTACCACTGAACAAAAATGGCGGATTCAATGAAATTTAATAGTGTAAATTCGAAAAGATGCAAAATCAAAGATGTTTACTGGTACTTATGGACACACATATTTTCTTACAATAGTGAATTCATGCGTTTTCTCGTAAGTTCACATTCTTCATTTTTTCAATTTATTTGATTTTTTCTATAATTAAGATATTTTGGTTATTTGAATTATGCTCGATGATGATTGATTTGCTTTAACCACACCGAAGAGAGTTGACGGATTAGAAAACCTATTGAATTTATGTAAAGGAATTTTTTATAATTTGCTTGGAAGTGGCTTTATGAATCTTTTCTCTAAGGGTTTGAGATTGCAATTCACTCTCCCTATAGAGTTCAGATGAAGGCCCTTTGAAGCTCTTTATAAGTGTTGATTCTATTGGCTTAAATCCTTGAGGATTTCCTCACCATCGATATTCTCATGTGGAAAACTTTGGCCCTTTTTTTGAGAGCTAAATTTCCCATTCAAATTCATTCACATCATCTCTAGAAGAACCAAAATAAATAAAGAGAACTGGATCAGTGAAAAGTTTTATTTTTTATACCGTGAAAAGCAACTAAAAATTTACAGCGATCATGATCGGAAGTGGGGTGTTGGTTAATTTGCGACCAACCATTTTTTTATATATGACCTAAATTATATAATCTGTGACCGTGAAAGAATCTGTGATCAATTAGTTTGGAAATTCATGACCGTGTGATATATAAATTTTGAAATCTGTAATCGACGAATTAATTGTGGCTTACAAATTTTTTTTATATGTGACCATTAAAAAATCTGTGACCAACTAATTTGAAAATATGTGACCAGCAAATAGACTGTAAACAAGTTATAATCGAGTGACCATTTGAAATTAAATTGTGGCCATTAACAAGAAATTTGAGCCATGTGCAAAAAACCTCTGTGACCTGCACTGTGACCATTTAAAATTAACCTGTGAATATTAAAAGAAAAAAGAGCCATGTGCAAAATATGCTGTGACCTATGCTGTGGTCATTTGAAATAAACATGTGACTATCAATAAAAACCTGGGCCATGTGTAAAAATATTTTGTTACCTGTACTGTGGCATTTGAAAATAACCTGTGACTATGAACAAAATCCTGACCCACGTGCAATATATTCTGTGATCTGTGCTGTAACCATTTGAAAATAACTCGTGACTATTAACAAAAATGTG